TATGAGTACGAGTATTTTCTAAAAAGCACTCGAGTACTTTTTAGAAAATACTCGAGTACGAAAATTTTTAAAAGAAGACAATAATCATGAAAAAAGTTATTTTAATTATAGGTTATTGTATGTTAAAAAATTTCAAGTACTCGAAAATACTCGAGTACATTTTTAAGTACTCGTAAAAAGATATCCCGAGTACGAGTACGAATACCGAAAATTTTGTACTCGAGTATACTTGTACTCGTCCATCTCTGCAAAAGTACTAGCATTTGCAGATAAAACGTCACAGAATAGAGTTAATCAAGATTTTACTTTACCAAATGGTGCTAGGTCAATTGGTCGCAGGACAATTCGTTGCACGGTCAATTCGTTGCGGGTTATTTCGTTGCAGTCAATTCGTCGCATAATTTTCTAATGGAAGAGGAAAGGCTACTAATCGGTACGTTATATTTCGCTGATGCTTCATTAATAGTCATTTTATCATCTTTAATTGATTTAATAGCTCCGCCAATGTCTACGTTTGAATAAGTTTGAACTCTTTTTCTTACATAATTACGAACCATTTCAATGCAGACTAATTTGAGATAAATTAATGCGAGCAAAATTCAATACACAAAATGCTGAGCTAGACTACTATTCTGTTGCTCAATAAGATGAGATGTATATGGCACTGTTCCTTTCGGTGGATTTACTGTACAAATGATATAATCCCAGTCTATGGTCGCTGAAGAGTCGTTTGGCAAAAGTCTTTTCATTTTTTGTTCGTAAACGGCTTTGAGAATTGGCTTTCTAGATGTAGAGGTTTTTCGCGTTCATTTATACCAGAATTCTTGATTCACCCCATGCCTGTCTACGTGTTTCTTGAAACGCCCCACTTGGGGCGAATCAAGAATATTATTTTATTACTCTAGTTTAAACCATCAAACGGATCTCAGTCAGTTCTCATCGAACAATTCGGAGTTTGCTTTCAATGTGTTCCTGAGACGATCAGGAGTCCAGCGGTGTGAAAATCTACTCAATTAGTACTACTTATCCCTAAGATAATTAGATTTTGCAAAAGTTAAAAAATACGGTTTATTTTAACGAGTGTTCTTGATTCACCCCACTCAGAGCTATATGTTTTCTTGAATCACCCCAAGCGGGGCGAATCAAGAAAAGCTGTGGGGCGAACCAGTAAAACCCCTGGAAGTCCGATACTTTGAAGCATTTTAAGCCGATTTTTCACAAGCATATCAATGAGAGTCTTGTCTATATGACTGCCAACGCACGCAAAAAAATCTCTAAGATTAAAAAAGGTATTCAACAAATACTGACATGATCGTGAAGTTATTCTTGATTCGCCCCACACCACTCTACTGGTAGATTATCAGTATGTGATTGAGAGACACCTTTTCTCACTCAAATCACAAAATTTAAAAATCGACTAAATGTTCCTTATATCGATGACACGATAGAAAAATAAGAACGTGTTTATCATATGGGAAGAGAGAAAAGAGAGAAGAAAAAAACATATTTTCTCTTTTTCACAGTGAACACGAACTTATATATGCAGAACGGAAAAAGTGAAAAACTTAAATTTTAAACGTTCAGAAGCATTTTTATGCAAAACCAATGTGGTATTCGGAATCTACGAAAAAAACTGCATCGAATGATATATAATTCGACGCATTTTGAAAAAAAAGTTTTCGTCCTAAATTTTAGGCGAAACACCTGAGGGGTGTGGCGCTTAGGCCCTACTAACAGCTTCACAAAACAACACCCAATTCTATTCTACCAACAGCAACAATTATTATTAATTTAATGATAAACGTCGTGTAAAACAAAAAAACTGTTTGTACAATACTGAAGTTCAATAAAATAGATAATGTTCTTCTTTGTTGTTCGGAGAAGAGGTGGCGGAAATCATGATGCTGATGTACAGAAAGAGAAGCTTAAATAAGTATTGCAAACTAAAATACTAAATTATAAAATATTAAATATAGATTAAATATAAAATTTAATCTATATAAACCATTTAAATAGAGTATTGAAGCTCCTCCTTCCCTGTATATGAGCGAAGAAGAAGAAGTGGTTTGAAATCTCTCCCTATAAATGCGAGAGGGAGAGAAGAAGAAGGAGATAAGGGATCTGAATTTGAAGTTGAAAATTGACAAGAATGACTAAAGAATCGAAATTTACTTTCAATTATAACTTGTTTTTCGTTTTGTTCCCTGGAAACAACTTGTATTAAATTAATAAATAATAAATAATTTCTTTGTTCTATTATCTCTCTTACTAAAACCCGCGAAACTACGAAGTTTTAAGAATTTCTATAAACTGCAATAAGATCAAGCATGGAGAACAATATAATGGCGATGAGCCGTTACAATCACCCCGTCGCCCAGGGAGAATCCGTCCCGGATTCAAAAATCAGAGCAGATAAAGGCGTTCTACTTTCTTGCTTTCCTTTGTCTCAGTTGTTGTTGTTGTTTTTTTTGTGTGCTTGTGCAGATTGTTTATTTTTTTTTAATATAAATTGAAAGTTTAATCGAGAAAACTTCATATTCACGAGACGGACAAAAGGAATAGAATGACTGCCGCTATGCTATCTTGATACAGATTTGAGAAGAGAAAGCTAACGAGAAAAAGGAAAAAGAGACTACTTAGCCCAGATTCAAAAAGGCTGTACTGTATTTCTTTTTTTTAATCTAAGAGTACTCCCTCAGTCAGAATCGTGGTTGATTTCGGCCATTTACTGATTTTAAGAAAGTGAAATCTCAGGTGTATCTTTCGATGACTCATGCCTAAATCGAGTAACTATTTGAATTACGTTAAAATAGCGTAACCCTTTCAGTTGCAACAGAAAACCCTAACCCTGAATAGTAACAGCATAACAGAATTTTTTCTTTCAATGACAAGAACGTACAAATTTGAAGGTTTGAGAATTTCGCGCATTTCAAAAGAGACTAGTTTTGTGAATCCATTAACAATAATTCTGACAAATGTAAATTTCTCATCATCATCATCACTCCAAAATCTCTCAAACTAATAAGTAATAAAAAAAAATATAAAAGTCTATAATTAAAGATGAACAGTCGTGTACCTTCACCGCCTACAAAAGCAGAAATAACCGAAACACCGGGTGATGAACGCCGTAACATTTTCGGCAGATGGTCCATCGATGAGAAATTAGAAAGAGCTTTTAATTTGGGATCCTGGATTGGTCAGTTAGAGAAAAGCTGCATCATGGTCATCATATCATATCCAGGTTTCGAAAATAATCGAAGCCTGGCATTGCATGTCACTCAAAGGCTAGATGATAGCCTCTGGGTGGCTGAATGTAGAATACAGCTTGCCACAAGTGATACGTGGCCTACTCCAAAACCAGGCCTAATGGTGGTGGCAGCGGGCCAGGATGTTAGCTGCGGATACAAAGCGGGTTTTGACATGGTGTATGACTTCCACCATGGGATGTAGGCACCATCAACAACACAGCTATCAGGCAAAAGGTCTGCCAACCCAGGAAGAGAGAGAAAAGACTCGAAGAGAACTAAAAGCGCTTATGCGCACATAGTTTTTGTACTTATATACATTAAAACCTTTTTTTTTTAATAAAGGCTAGTAGATAGACTGTGTTCTTCAAACGTTTTGCGAAGAAAAGTCAATTGAAAATCGAACACGAACGTTTAGCTGAGATATTTGTTGAATGAAAAGAAGAACGGGATTTAACAAAAGTTATAAAATATAACTTTTTTTTTAAGTTTTCTCTTTTGTTTTTTAAGTTCACGAATTATTGTAGTTCTCAACGTAAAGAAGATCAATACGTCTTCCTCTCGATGAGCATACGTTTCCGGAAAATCCAACCTTCATACTGAAGCAATAGAGTGACTACAAGTTCCGTATGGACAAGAAAACGAAAAAGATGCGGTCTAAACCTGAAAAAACTTGAAAAATATTTGTTTTCTCTCTCCATTAGGAACATTGTGACTCCACGGTTGAGAATGAAGACGAGGAAAAGAAGGAGTTCCTGAGACTGGTTGTTCGAGAAGAAAACATGAACTAGCTATCTTCTAAAACGAACGAGAACTCTTAACGTCATAACTATAAACAAAACGTTTAATCTTTTTAATTCTTGTTTTCATTCTCATTATATTTTATATAATGCAAGTTACGTTAAAACGTAACTGTTTCTACACTACATATTTTGTTTATTATATAGGTCTTTCATTCTGCAGAAAATGCACGTTTTCTGTTTCTTTTCCATCCCTTCTATTCGTTTATACCATTACAAATCGTTCTGCTAGATAGCTGATGTCGTTATGATACTGCTATAATCCAGTAGAAGACCATAACTCTCTTTTCTTTTTTATTGGCCAAGGCGAATTGCCAATCAGCGCTAGTGCATGATAAAACTGTAGAAACAGAAGAAAATAATGAAGACTAAGTATTCTCGTGAATAAGAAGTTCTGTAAAGGAATTTTCGAACTCGTACAAAGTAACGTAATACGTAATAAAATGAGAAGCAGAATGGTGAGACGGTGTTGCACAATGCAACTGAAACAGTTAGCGATATTGCACACTGCAATACAACACGATGAAGCAAAATCTAGCAAAAAGAAGAGCACAGCTATAGAATATAAGTATAAGCACAGTGAGAGCTCAAATTAGTTCTCTTATGCATTTGGAACCAGAATCGACGATGAACGGCGATACTGTTTCAGTCTTTCGACGTGAATAGACGAAAGAACCGCACCATCCTCTAAAGAAACTAGTTCATAGTCTAGAGGACTAATCTTGCGTGAAATTCGAAAAGGACCGATCCATTTAGGAGCCAATTTAGGAAGGGCCCGTTTGCCTAAGGCTGATCCTGAGGTGTTAGCCATCAAAACAAGGTCACCTTCTTTAAATTGGACATCTTTACGATGTCGATCATAAAGAAACTTTTGTCCTTGTTGAGCAATTTCCAAATTTTCTCTGGCCGACTGATGTGCAGAGGCAAGAATAGCTTTAAGTCGTTCAGTGTAGGCTCAGACTTCCTCAGATGATTTTAACTCATCAAGAACATCCGTTTCGGGACCGTACATGAGATCGAGTGGTAGTTTCAGTTCTCGACCATACATTAAAAATGCTGGACTGTGACCAGTGGATTCATTTATGGCCGCTCTGATGGCCAGTGCTAGTTGCGGCAACCGTATATCCCAAGATTCTTTATCATGTTCGGCAAAAATAGCCAACATGGGCTTTAATGTCCGATTGACACGCTCAGATAAATTTGATTGAGGATGATAAAGAGCGGTCGTTCGATGCCGGATACCCATGATCTTTAAAGTTTCTCGAAAAACGTCGGCAACAAATTGTGCACCGTTATCGGAAACAATTTTAACGGGAATGCCATGACGGCAAATGACTTCGTCATGCAGTAGTTGAGCGATATTTCTCGATTTAATGGTGTCTAGAGGGAAAAATTCGACCCATTTCGTGAAATAATCGACTACTACTAGGATGTAGGCATTCCCGCGCGGAGTTTTAGGTAAAGGACCAGTTAAATCAACTCCGATAGTGTGCCAAGGCGACTGTACTACGTGAGATTGCATTAAACCTGCTTTCTTTTCGTTTGCGGCCTTAAGACGTTGGCACAGGTCGCACGATCTTACATAATGCGCAACTTCACGCCTCATTCCACCCCAATGGAAGCGAATTGATAAACGATGCAAAGTTTTTCGACGGCCAAGATGACCTGAAATTGGACGGTCATGAGCCAACTGAAGAAGTTCTGTTCGCTTAGATTTTGGAATAACTAAAAGATGTGGACTAAGATTATTTTTCAAAGGTGAATCTTCTTCTATTTTGCGGATCCGATATAGTTTTCCGTCGACTACTCGATGAACTTTAGCCTGTCCTTCTATTTATCTTATTTATCTATTCTATTTCTATTTATCTATTTCTAAGATCTTTATCTCGTCGTTGCGCCAATTTTATGTCATCTAAAATACTGCAACTGTCCCAAAGATTAACTGCAGCCTCCTGATTTTCTTCTAAAGGACCTATCATAATACCATTACTCTGCAAGACACCTATTATCTCAGATTTGAGAGGATACCGTGACAGAGTATCGGTATTTGAGTTGGCTCTTCCTGGTCGATGCTTAATGACCATGTCATAGGCATCAAGTTTCATGGCCCATCTGGCAAGACGGCTGGTTGGATCTTTTATATTTTTCAACCAAGTCAAGGACCGATGGTCGGTCCAGACTTCAAAAGACCGTCCTTCGAGATAAGGCCTAAAATGTTGAGTGCCCCAGACGATGGCTAAACATTCGCGTTCAGGTGCAGAATATTTTCTTTCACAAGGCTGCAGGGTCCTGCTGGCATAGGCTATGACATGTTCATTGCCTTCGATATTTTGAGCAAGAACGGCACCGAGTCCATAGTCACATGCATCCAACTGAAGCATAAATGGATGATCAAAATTCGGATATGTGACAATTGGTGCGGAAATAAGGCGTTCTTTTAATAGTTCGAAAGCCTGCTGTTGATCAGGAGTGAATACAAAAACAGGATTATGTTTTTCTCTGATAGATTCAAAAAGAGGTTCAGCAATCTCAGCGTAATTTTTAATAAAACGCCTATAATAACCCGTAAGACCTAAGAAAGCTCGTACATCTTTAGGTTTAGATGGTACGGAAAAAGACCGGACCGCCTCTAATTTATCTGGGTCAGGTCGAATGCCATCAGCACTGACTATATGATCTAGATATTTTAATTCTCGGCGACGAAAGAAGCATTTTGATTTTTCTCTAGCGTTCCCAGTTTGTAGAGGATACTTCGAAGTATATGCCCTGAAGTTTTTTCGGCTTACTGACGTTATTTGGCTGAGAAAAAAATTAATTACTTAAAAAAATGTTGTTAAATTTTTGAGCATGGGGTTATTATTAAAAAAATTCCTGTCCATCCTCCATTCATCACAAAAGCTTGGTTCTTGCCTAGATCGATGGAGAAATGTATGGAGAATATTTACTACGAGAAAATATGTAAACATCTTTGTTCTTTTCTTCCGGTTATTGACTAATTAGTACTAATTAACGTTAATTTACTATTTGAAGATGATAAGGATGGCGTAGAAGATTTCTGATGGTGATTTTTCCTAGATTTTTGTTTTATTTTTCTTTTAGACTTAAGATCAACTTCTGTTCTAAGAGAAGAAATAGATTGATCAGGAGATGGTGATCTTCTATGCTGTTTCTGCGACTTAACTTACTAATTTCTGTTCCTTACTTTCGCTTGGTAGTGGTAGCAAACAAGCATGCCGCGAGAGATCAGAGTCGTAAACAGACAACAGCCGTGCGGGCAAAGATGCGGTTGAAACTTGAGCTTTAGGAGTTCCAGGGATTACGGTAATAACATCTCCAGAAGCTGCTGTCAACGTATTAGCCGACAATATCTGTGTTCGAGATGAGCTTTGTTGCTTATCCATAACTCTAATTATAGCCTCTGTTTGCATTTTCAAAGCTTCCTTTGCCTGCTCCTTCTGTAGTTTCATAGATTCCAATATATGCATATTCTGCATTTTCATAGTTTCGAGCAACAATGCGTTAACATCAACTCCACCGCCAGCGACAGAAAGATTAGGTGTAGTACGCGATGTATTAGATCTGATAGATCTGCCGCGAGACAAAACAGAGACCACTGATGGAATTACAGAAGTTTTAGGTTTTGCTTTTACAAAAACCTTCGATGGTCATCATCATCATTCGGCTGCGAACAGTCTGGGTTTGCAGGCGACAATAATCTTAGACCAATTCTCTCTGTTAGCGGCAGCTTTTCTCATTTCGTCGACCGATGGCTGAGTATCGTTGTTGATCAGCTTTGCGATGTAGTCAGGATACATTAATTTTGGGCGGCCTTGTTTTTGTTTACCGTGGCTTGGTTTCGGTGTGT